CCAGGAAGCTGCTGTCTAAGTCAGAAAAAAATATCCCTGTGTGAATTAAAATATTTCCTCAACAATTCTTCAAAAACTAATACCCGAGTTTTATCTTACATTCTTGCTTCGAATGTTTTGTTATAATCATACCATTAAAGTGATGAGCAGTGGACAAAGGGAATCTATACATTTAAAGGTTCACAGACATCCCTCTCTGTAATCTCTGTATTAGGGAGATGTGCAGCCAGTGCTTCTAAGAGACACCTATTGTTCAGAATTCAAGAGAAAAATCTAATTTAATCTTGAAAATGACCTCCATTTAGATAAGGAAGTAACCAAGCACCAAGGAGGCATTCGGAGAGAGTGCTTGAGCTTGCCTAGGACTGTTTTAACTGTAGTGCTGTATCTGTACTCATGTTGAGCAAAGCCGTTTATGATGCGGGATTGCCCTAATGACTATTGCTGTTAGTTAGCTCCTTTCTCCTCTCTGCTTGCAGAGAAAAAGAAAGAAAGAAAGCAAATAAGAAAAGCTCCTGGATTCTTGCACGGTGTGTGAATCCACTTAACACAATTATAATGTCCAATTAATCTTAGCAACCTGAGTGATGAATCATTTCTCCAGGTATCTCCTCAAAAGAATGAATTTAGTTCCAACATTTGGACCATTGTTTAAACCGACTGTAATCTTGCCAGTTTAATATGAAAGAAATAATTGAATCCAAATCTATATGCAAAAACATTCTCTCCCCAGGAACAGAAGTAATAGCACAACCCCTACCTGAGTATCAATTTCTCTTGGCATTCAGGGAACGATGACAGAATTCCATCATTTGTGTCTCTTTTTGTATTTGATTTGATGGTATCTCCTGCCATCTACTGATAGGTAAAAATGATAAAACAACTTTCCTGAATCATATTGTCATTATGCACAAATGACCAATTGCCAGCTTCCGTTTGAATATGGAAAAGTAACCCACTACATCAGGATTTCCATCCAGAAACGAGTAAGGTGTCAACTTCCAGCGGAAAAGCTTTGCTTGTGTTCACAGCAGTTTACACTGAGATGCACTACATACAGTCTAGGGAAAGCAGCATTGGCTTCATAGCTTTGAAGTGAGGCTGGCTTTTGTGCCAGCTCACCCAAGAACTCAAACCCTTGTATTCAGTTTATATGTTTTACTCTAAAACAAAAGTATTGGGGATGGAGCACACCTCCTCCCACCTCCAAGATGTTCCATGTTTTGCAGGGCATTTGAGTACTTGATAAATATAATTTCAGAAAACTGATCAATCACAACTTTATAGATAACTCAATTAAAATCTTGAGTGCCACCTTTTAGCGATAGGGTTCCCCATTGCCCTCTGAATAATACTCCTCCTCATTTTGTCTGTTACATCCAAGGCCACATACTCAGTCTGTCCAATATACAGTGTCTTTTAGAAGCCGTCTGCTGCTCCTCCTTATGTTGATAAACCATCTTCACAGCAAGAAACTTGGCATTCCACAAAACCTTACTTTGGAAATGGTGCTGAAGCTGTTGACTGTAAATGTCATCCTCAGCTACCTCTACAGTTGACCACAACTCCCAACTGGGCAATAGATATATTCGATTTGTTTTCTAACCTTTGAAGAACAGCCAGGTACAATGACTCTTTACTTACCTAAGGGTACTGCCCTGGTAGCTTCAAATGCTAGGATACCACTGAGAGTCAAAGAAGGACAAGAAGAAGCCTCAGAGAAAGGTTTTTCAATGTTCTCCAAAGAGCAGAAATGTGAGTTTCCAAGCCTGGTTACCTGTCCATGCAGTAGTCTGTAGATTTTCTTTTGGCCCCTTCATAGACACATCTCCTCAAGGGAAACAAATTCCAAACCTTACCTAAACTGAATACTTTGGCATTGGTTTAGAGTTAGCATATACAAATAGGAGATAATGAACAGAAGTATTCGCTATATAAGTTTTAAATAAAAAAAAATCACTGTGTAGACTTTCTCAACTCTAGATGTTTTAGATAGACAGCATATACCAATAGCAGAAAAAGTGCAGTCTGACACAGGTGGATACTTAGCTCCCCACAGTGTTCCCCACCCACCCCATCCAGAAATGCCCTGCAATGTTAGGCAAGTGTTGGGACTGAACCCATGGCCTTGTGCTTTCTTTCCCTAATGCTTGGTTTACATGGTACCCATGCTTGCCTCAAACTCACAATCCTCCTGTCTCCCCCACTGGAGGACTGTGGTTAAGTAGCTCATGTCATCATGTTTGGCTATCCAAAGTTTCCAAAGGCAGAGTGCTTCAACTCCAAGTTACTGATTTCCCAGCAAATGTTCCCTCCCCCTCCTTTACTTCACATCTCCTAAACCATGTGTGTTTAAGAGCATAGAGTACTTGTCCCACAAGCCTGGTGACATGAGTGAGACCCTTGGAACTCATGTAAAGATGAATGGGCAGAACTCACATTATAAAGTTGTCCTCTGACCTACACACACACACACACACACACACACACACACACACACAATACACAGAGAAGAAGAAATGAGGAGGAGAAGTGCTGAATGTTTTTTTTTTTTTTAAATTCTTTACTCTTTTGGCTTTTTGGCCTTTTTGAGGGGCCTGCCACTCAGCTCCCAAATAAATCACACACTGAGGCTTATTCTTAATTATGAGTGTCCTGCCTTAGCTTGGCATCTTTCTAGGCAGCTTTTCTTATCTTAATTTAACCTGCCTACCTTTCCCCCTCTGGGCTCTTATCTTTCTTAGTTCTGTATATCTAACTTTCCTTCTTACTCTGTGACTAACTGGGTGGCTGGGTGGCTGGGTGGCTGTTCCCTGAAGTCCTCCTCTACTTGTTCTCTTGTTCCTCCCCCTCTTCTTTGTTTTGCTCCTTCTATTTATACTCTCTGCCTGCCAGCCCCTTCTTTCCTTGATCCTGCCTTGCTATTGGATGTTCAGCTCTTTATTAGCCCATCAGGTATTTTAGACAAGCAAAGAATCACAGCTTCACCAAGTTAAACAAATGCAGCATAAGCAAAATTCACGAACCTTAAAATAATACTCACCAACTGAAGAGAAACACAGTGAATGAAAAATAAAGTTTTTCCTAAGAGTCCAAATTTTCTCTGATATTAGTCAAACTTGTGGTGCCTGCAGAGATTCTGTGGTCCTCTACACAGTGGTTTCAGCCAGATCACTGCTCTATTTTTACCTGGTTCTATAGTATCACTTCAAGTTCCAGCTTACCAAATGCCTAGGAACCAAAATTTTGAATGTAGCCTTCTTCCCTGGAGGCAAGTCTAAATCCTTGGCAAAAGCCTGTCCCTCGTCCCATCGTCCTGATTCCAACAGGGCTCTGGGTTCAAACATGATGCTGGATCAGATAGTCTCTCACACATACTCCAGTAGTACTGTCCTATGAAGCACAGTGTGTCAAAAAGAAGAAAAAAAAAAAACAATAACAAGGAACAGATTGCAAGAAAATAGGAATCTGCTCTACCTCCCTCGGATTTGCCCCTTTACTGTCAGGCACTGGGGTGTGAAGAAGCGCAGCTTGGGAGGAATTTGGCCTACTCTGTAAAGGTCATGAAAGTTTCCAACAGAAAGTGATGACTCATGTTCCATACATCCTGATATTTCAGAGTGTTCAGGAAAAATGCAGTCCACTCCAACACACCCTCTCTTTCCATGGTTTCCTGCCAGATCGCTTGTGAGTTTCACTACAAAGGGCAGCTCAATAGCCAAGGTGAGGGAAGTTGCTGATGTGAACAAAAGTTCAACAGCAGGGCAAGAGGACGCAGGTCCCTCGGTGCTCTGTGTTTACCAGACACGGGTTCATCAACAGAGACCGCTCTCGTGCAAATATGCAGCTCCGTGTTTGGGCATCTTTCAAAGCAGTTTTAGGGGCTGCCTTTCCTCTGGATCTGGACACACACATTTGCACGCACACACAAACACCAGCTTTGAAATTGCATGGTATTGTCTCCAAACTTGAAACACATCCAGCTTTTGACCTTAACTCCCCAACACTTCAGGAAGCAGGAATTCTCACACCCTCTGGCCTCTTAGTAAAACAAGCCCCTGGGAAACTCTTGCCAAAAGATGCTTGGTAGTTCATGCTGCAGATGCATCATTCTCTCTCTTCTTACTCAAGGCATACAATATCACTCAGTCTAGCTCTTGATACGAACTCACTGAACAGTCAAGCAATACAGCTCTGCAACAGACATACGACAGCTGCATTCCAGTCCAGGAATGGTGGACTAAATGGTAATTGTTTCCCAGGGGTATGGAGAAACAATCGGCCTCACCCTTCCTCCTTACTTCTATCACAACACTCAACATTCAAATTCCACGACTGGGGGAACTGGCCAAGGCTTATTCTGTTCCCATTCATTTGTATCTAGCAGAGACAAGGATCCTTGACAAGAGGACATGCAGGAGAGGGGTGTGGTCCCCAAGGGAAAGCTTGATAACATTATCAGAGGAAACAGCAATGCATTCTGGGCAGGAAAAAGTTGGGAGATTAGCTTTAAAGCAAGCAATCAAGCAGTGCAATGTCCAAGCTCAGCTAGACCTTCAGCAGTTGTTCAAGGTTATAAAGGAGTGGATACTTAGCAGCTGCTATGAGCTTTCCTACATATAAGATTATGGCCCTAGAAACAGTAAGGCCTACACTGTTAAAGAAGCCAGGATAGCTTACTGGTCTCCATAGAAGATAAGAGATTCCCCCAAAGCCTTTTGTCAATTCTCTGTCAAAACGAAAATAGAGCAAGAAATTCTTTTCTTTCTTTTTTTTTTTTTTCTTTTAGGACAGGTTTTTTCAGTGTAGCCCTAGCTGTCCTGGAACTTCATCTGTAAACCAGTCTGGCCTCAAACTCAGAGATCTGCCTGCCTCTGCCTCTGCCTCCTGGGTGCTGGGATTAAAGAGGTGTGCCACCATACCTGGCTGAGCAAGAAACGTTAAATTCAGGAAATTATAGAGGCTGGGGTGTGACTCAGTGGTAGAAAACTTACCTACCATGCATCTGGCCTCGAGTGATTCCCAGGCTGCACATTGGAGTGAGAGAGAGGTATACCATGCCCTGTGCAGGAGTTCCTCAATCTACAAGAGCTTGCTGGTTTTTCTTGCATACATATGTTTCATCATGACACAGCTGTGTTCAGCAGAACCATATTCCTTATATAAAATAAAAGCCTGTTTACCTTTAAATCCCACATATTGTCTCTAGGTCTGCTGATAGGAACTGCATGGAAAAAGAAAAAAGAAGAATTACATTCTTATTTGGCACCTTCTCAAGCACTTGAAATATAGCCACAGCCTTCTTCTAAAACACAACAACAATAAGAACTGACCTTTCTAGGCTGAATGCCTCCAGTTTCTTTCAGTGGTTCTTAGGAAGTTCTGCTGAAACATCCCCATCCCTTTGGCCCTGAAACATCCCCATCCCTTTGGCCCTCTTCTGCGGAAGTACTAGTTACGCGGAGAATAGGGTAATTATCTTTTTCTAACTACCTCTTCCAGAGCAGGTTTCCAGAGGCTGGGTCCCACTTTGTCAATATCCCTTTAAGAAGTATGATGCCCAAAATGAAATGCAGCACTCCAGAGCCAGAAAGCTAATGCATGGCATTCAGCACACTTCACAGAGAGGCTGCCATATGTCACTAAGTGTTTGGGGATCTGCCGTCATTGAAGAGGAAGTAGAAGACTGCAGGGGAGTCAAGACAGAGTCCTGGGTAGTGTTCCAGTATCATTCGGTGTGAAATAAACCCTAAATAAGGAAAACAACAGATGCAGTGTGCTGCTCTTAGTACAAAACTCTCCAGCATGGGAATGCCTTATCATAGTCACAACCTACTGTTGCCTCACAGCCCCCAGGGGAACTTCCCTGGGGACGTGTTAGAAGAGGAAACTGCCTTGAAAGAAATTTCTCAGGCACATTAGAGCTGACAGAAATCAGTTCTTATGTCAGGACTCAGTGTGTCTGAACTGTAAGGAGGGACCAAGAGACCAGGTGTGTTCAGCGAGCTACTGCAGCCCACACTGAAAGCCAACTGTGAAGGCTGCTGTCCTGAGGGTTTCACCAACCTCTAATGTGGGATGAGATGGAGAAATGAGGGTAGAAAAGCAAGAGCTTGTTATCCAGGCAGGTTTGGGTAACAGGATATCAAATCCACGTTTGGCAGATTCAATACATTCCCCCTTGGCTACTCGAAAAGCCGACACAGGAGTCTCCTCTGATTTGCTGTTGATTGTAAGCTGTCTGGCTCCATGTGATTCTACAAGAGCTTCAGCTAATTCAGAGATTTAAAAGCCCAGCCCAGGGAGCCGCTCATGCATTTATACCGCATCTGAGAGATTATGGGTACTGAATCAGGGAATAGTCCACATTCTCCCGACCTACAGCCGGCTGGCAGCCTTCTATTCCTAAAACTCACATCGGTACTCACGCAGGATGTGGAGGAGCGTGGATTGTGCGTATGTTAACAGTCGTTTCAGATCTAAGGCTGATTATTTGCTTTCCAAATCTCCTAAGCAATGACAATCAATTCTGCCTAGTTTGTCTATAAAGACTACGCCTAAACTCCTCACTCTTGCTATGGAATACAAACTGCTTGCTACTCCTGGGAATGGGACTATGAAATGAGTTTCCTCTCAGTGTATTTGTGTGTCTTCCTTTATTTCCTTAGCTGGTTTCGAGTCTTGTCTTAAGAAAAATAAATGTACATGTGGCATGGTGACTCTGGCAGGCACTGTGTACATATTACTCAGGCAAACTGGCATTTGGGCTGGATGACTGCATGGGTGACACAGCCCAGCTCCAGATGAAAGGTGTGTCACTTTTGGATTCTGTAGACGGAGGCATAGAAGGTTTCTCCCAGGCATGTTTCAAGAGAGGTCTAGCAAAACTCCTCTTGTCTGACAAGCCAGCCTGCAGCACGGCTTTCACTCTCTCAGGAGGCAATCTACTCTCTGTGTAACAGGAACAGCTGATCCCAAAGGCGAAGTACTAAGCTACTTGTGGTTTAACTGCTAAGTACAGAAACTTGCCTGCATTCTATGATACACGCTCAGTGAAGCATGTAGGTCATGAGGGAAAGGATTTTTTTTTCTAGTTTTTGCCTGTCATGTTTATTGAGTTATCCCAAGTGCATTAAATGGTGCCTAATATATACTTGTTGAACAAATATTGTGGCTTAGAATCGCTGCTCCCTCCCCATTCAGTTCTGTGGCTGCATTATTCCTAGACAACCCCCGCCTCCCCATGCATCATTCTGCATTGAAATGGTAGAGCACAAGCAACCGCATGCTGGCAGATAACAGTATTCAGAATAATGGAGTGATGGGTCTCAAGCAAGGAGCCTCGGTGGTGGAAGATAATATTTAGATTCAAGTAGACATAAAACTTTGCATTGGCATTTTACCACCCAAGAAATCCTTTTCATGTCTTTTTACATTATGCCAAAGGAGGTCACAAAGAAAAGACTGGCTGTGCTCCTCATCAGGGGCCTGCTTCTTTGTAACCCCTGGGAATTCAACACCTTAACAACTTTAGCTCAAGTTAAGGGGAGCAAATTCCAGTGTGGCATGCCTTTTATCTGTGCCACCAGCAGAGTTTGCAAGTTCAAAGAATAGGACAAATGAGTTGAGTCCTGCTGCCAATGCAAATCTCCTGTCTTTAAGGATGGGAGGCTGTGATGCTGAGGCCCCAGCACAATCAGGGGTAGGAGACTAGAGCTGCAGGCAGAGCACAGGGCTGCAGTGAGGGAGGGAACAGAGCTCACAGGAGGCCAGCCACCAGCTTCTTCATTGCTACCACCCAGACACCAGATATGGTCTGGATAGTCCAGCAGTGGAGGTACCGCCAGTCCCAACCTAGTGTTGAGGGCCTGGAGATTTTTTTGGGAGCGGCTGGGCCTTGGTCTACACTGGAAAGCTGGAGAAGCTGGGTTCAGATATGAGAGAAGGAAGGCAGCAGAGGCTGCAGCAGCAGCAGGGTAGATGAGCTGGCCAGGAAGATGGGAAGAGGCTTCAATGGGAAGGGGTTGCAATGGGAAGAGCTGCGATGGGGAGGGGCTGCTCATGTCTAGGGGAAGTCTTTACATTTTTAAATAACTTACTGCAGAAATTCCCTCACAGATGTGCCCAGCAGCTTGATCCTACCCTGATTCTATATAAATTCAAGTTGACAGCCAATAAATAACATCACAGTAAAGTAAGACAAAAGTAATAACTGTAAGGTAGTCAAACCTCCTGGGTAAACATTGTGCTCTTCTAATAGGACTATCCCAAGCTTTACCTTATTATTACCTTATTATTTTCTCATACATAAAAACTACCCAGTAAGTAATTCGGGATGTACACATGCAAAGATTCAGCCAGATTACTACATTGTTTTATTTGATGATTTCACAATAGGTCTATAATTGTACTATATTTGAAAAATGGAAAAATGAGAAAATACTTGTTAGAGGCTTGTACATTTCACACAAGCTCACATATCAATGACTTAGAACCCAGAGTGAAATATTGTTCATCATACTACATTAATTGTAAGGAATAGCATGTTAGTGTATTGTACCAACCATTCTTAGACCATGGATCCCAGTGACTAAGTCAAAAGAAATGTGGTGAGGCAATGAGGGGAAAGTTAAGGTGCATCTCAGACAACTTTGTCTTTTTCAAATTGCTAAAAATCATCTCTGAGGCATAGGATTCTTCCAGAGCAAGATAGCAGAGAGATTCTCACACATGTGGAACTGTGAAAGAGTGGAACAGGGCCAGCTTCTCTCACCCAGTGAGCCTTTCCAAGGGGCAGCCTGGAGCCCTGGGACTGACTCCTCAGACCTTTCCCAGGAAAACCTAATGTCCACAACAGAATCTGCACAGATGAGATCTTGGGAATCACTCCCAAAGGAGATTACATTGGATTGTCTTTGTTTCTAAATCAATCTCTTGTCCCAGATGACATAGGAAGCAAAGTCTTCTGATTAGAAATATCCACAAGTACCAGCACTCTGGCTTTGCTAGCTGTAGCTTTTTTGTTTCACAGACCTTAACCCCATTGGATTGTATATAAAAATGAAAAAGGAGATTGAAGTCAACCAGTAAATGCCTGCTGCTTAGGCAACTTTTATTTTGAAATAACCATGGAGTAAGTGCTGGGGACAAAGTGTATAGCTTTGTGCCAACACTCACCACAGGAATAGGAGCACCTTGGGAGGAATGCCAGGCTGCTTCCATAAAGCCATGAAAAGGGGAGAGAGCAGGGATAGGGATTAGGAGGTGTCACCCTGGCCTAAGTGTCCAGATCACTGGGTTTTTTTGTTTTGTTTTGTTTTTTTAAGTAAAGCAAGTTTTCTAATGTTTCTGGCCTGCTCCCTTATCTGGAAAATAATTGTGATAGTGAAAATCATGATTAAAAGGTTGCAAAAGTAACTAGCTTGAAGAATGCTTTAGTTAATCTAGTTTAACTTTTTCAACACTGCTGTGACTTTATACATGAAGATTCCTATCTCCATTTCACAACTGAGAAGACTGTGGCCCAGAAAGGACTCAGGCCTTTCCTTGGCAGGATGGCAGGAGAAGGACTTTTTGTGACATTATTGATTGTTAAGCTTGAGAATCACTATTTGAATAGGTCAAGACTCCACATCTCATTTTGTATTTTCTATTTTAAAGAGAGCTTGTAAAATTTCTTTAGTTCCAAAACCCACAGAAATTGGATCTGCCTGATGTTAGCTATGTATAGAGCTGGATTCCAAATGCAGGGGACCCCAAATCCAAGGCCTGAAGCCTCCTGAGAGCCTCCTGAAAGCTCCACATGTTCTCCTATCTTTGAGGCTATCTGTGACATGCAGAAACATGGGCCCTCAAAACCCACAATCCTCACTGGATGTGGCTGATTTTGGAGATCAGACCTATAAGAGATAATTACTGTAACATGAGGTCTCAATCCTTTACTTTAAGACGGGGCTCTAATCTGATAGAATCAACATCTTGTAGAAAAGGTGAGAGAACAGAGTGTTTTCCGTGTGTGTCCACCTAGTAGAAAGAGTCATGCAAACAGAGAAAGCAGGTGACTGCTGTAGGCAAGGAAGCCCTCATGAGAAACAAGCAAACAAACCCAGAATCTGCTGCCACTTTGCTGTGGCTCTCGGCCTCCAGGATTATTACCAAGAATATTTTGTTATAGCAACTGGAACACACAATGTCATATACCTTTAATAATAGGAGTCCTTGCATGGTCTGTGGAGGATCACTCCACAAATAGAACTCTAGGTATGGTTAGAACATAGCTGACATTTTTCCTAGAAATCAAAATGTCTTCTTCCTTCCTGCCTCTGGGGCTTCGATATCAACTGCTCTAGAGCAGAAAACCTTTCAAGTACTGACCCATTTATTCCTGATTTTCGAATTTTCTAATTTTGAGCTTGTGACAATGATAATAGTAGTTAACACTTACCACAAAGCTAGAAGGAAGAGATGGACTTCTGCCTACACACCACTGTAGCAACCTTGGGCTTAACACTTTCATCTACATGGTCTGTGGGACAGAATAATTACCAAGATTATGCTGCAAAAGTTTTGTCTAAATGACACAACAAATATTTCCAAATTCCCATTGACATCATCTAGTAGCCACAAATCCCTCAGTGAGGACAATGAATTGAGTGGGCAATCCAACCACTGGACTATTTTGAATTCAATTGTAGGATGATCAACATACATCTATCTGAACACATAATCATATAACATTGAAATAATTTGCTTTTCTCACCACTTCCTCAATTCTTATTTTACTGACATTTATCTATTAAGTGCCAGTTGGTCTCAGAGATATTAACAATCTGTAGACAAATTAAATGCAGACTCCAGGATGCTCACATTGGTACTCATTCCCTATACATTACCTTCCCTTGCGTGTAATCACTTGTGACTTCGATAGCTTGTGGCTCCTACGATTCTGTTCATTATGAATCGATGCTGAAAAGATTGTATATGGACAACCAACACTTCACTCAGCTAATTTTAATTTCATCAGAAGATTATCCTGGGTGATCCTGACCTAACCAGACGAATGCTTTAACCCAGGATTCAAAGAGATCAAAGATTCTTCCAATTGAAAAGAAACAAACAACTGTGTTGTGAGCAAGTCTCGTGTATAAAACTGCTGGGAGTCTCTGGGAGCTAAGAGCACTGAGCTCCACCCATGGCGAAGCTAGCACCAAACCTCAGTGCCACACCCATAAGAGACTGTAAAGGCTATTAGAAGGCTCTATCAAAGAGGAGATGGGAGTCTGTCCCACACCTTGATTTCTGTCTGGTGAAAGCCTGAATTCCATTTGAAAATGAACTGAAACAGTATTTTAAAGGTTTCTAGCAATGTGTTGGGGAGGGGTATGGTGAGTCAATGTGAGTGCAGGTGCCTGTGGAGGTTATTGTTGTCAGATCCTAGTTAGCTAGAGTTAAAAGCAATTGTGAGTCACGGACAGGGTACTGGGAACCATGTGAGCCATAGGACAGGGTACTGGGAACCAACCACAGACCCTCTGCAAAAATGATACTGCGCTCTTAACTGCTGAGCCATCTGCCCAGCCTGGAAGTGTGTATTGTTTTAAACTGCTGGGTTTGTGGTAACTTGTTATGCTTTATTTAAAAATATAACAATAATACAAAGAGTGAATAACATAGGCAAGGTACCTGCCTTTGTGGGGCTTTGACTTCAGTAAGGGATATAGCAACAGCTTGCTTGTAAATTTGCAGCAGTATTCCAACTAATGACACGTACAACAGAAAAGTTGCCCCCAGCTGGTATGGAGAGAGTGGATGGGGAGAGTGGCCAAGGAGGACTACACTGAAACACAAAAGCCAGCCATAGGAGATAAATGGAAAGAACATTTCCGGCATAAGGAAATGGCAAGAGAAAAGGCCCTCCATGTTGGTGGCCATATCATCACAGAATTAACTCCAAGAGCTACATAGAGATACTACCCCACAAGCTCATTCATTTAATGAAGGTTTAATTTAATATAAACGTATAACTGCCTAAAAAATATGCTTCAGTGGAGTGGGTACTATTGGACATTAATCAGTTTAAGTGCCATTAGCAAAAGTTCTAATTATAGTAGCCTTTTAAATTCGGCTTTTCTTCAACCTCTGCCAGGCAAAAATGTTCCTTATAGAACACACTACTTAGCACAATGGAAACTCAAAAGGACTACTAATGAATTGGGACTGTCTCAACTAGATTCAAAGTTTGCTGTCAGGTTGATTCTTATGGTGTGGACTGTTGTTCTCTGTGAGAAAGATGAAAGGTTCAGGCATTATGCTGGCCTGCCCCTGTTACCTGGTGGAATCCACTCAGGCAATACCTGGTCAGCCCAAGGTTCCATGGGAAAGAAGTCTGCAGGCAGGTGCAGAGGACCCCTTAAAAAGATAGGCCCTAACTCTTAGAGCGTCTCAAACAGACATTGCCAACCAAGAAGAAACAGTCAGAAATAGAACAATCAGAACAATGAGGGACATTCCCAGGTGAAAGAAAGTTCCCACTGGGAGGCAGAACTCCGCTCATTTACCTATTCGCTGCCAGTAACCGAAAGATCCCGTAAAAATGTATTTCCCGTGGGCAAGGCCAAAAAATGCACAGATTGCCCTGTCTGAGAGCACCCGGCCCGAAACCAAAAAATGGACCCAGAGTGAACAGCGCTGGGTCTGCCCCATGGGAACGGTTTGGGTTTCTTACCGGATTGTAGCGAATAGGCAGATCAGTGAGTTGAAGAGATCCTTAGTTGGAAAAGCGGCAAGTTGAGTTCCGGCATCTCAGGCTGTTGCAGGCAGGAGGGAGTGCCAGGAAAAGTGGAGATGGAAGTGGGCTATGAGTTTAGATTTTAGGATCTCCGAGATTTCCCGTGCTCCTGGCAGGAAAAGTTACAAAGAAAGAAAAACTATCCCACCAGCTAGCTTTGGGAGAGGGTCTACGGAGGGAGCCTAAACCAAGTCGGGCGCCAAAATGTTATTCTTTTATTTAAAAAGAAGAAAAGAGAAATTATGAGACAGACATATTGACTATAAGTTTATTATAAGGCCCGGTAGAACGGGGAGACTAAGAAGAGGAACAGGGTAATGGCTGACCGCCATGGCCGTAAAGGTGCAGGGGCCTATCTTTTTAAGGGGTCCTCTGCACCTGCGTGCAGACTTCTTTCCCATGGAACCTTGGGCTGACCAGGGTATTGCCTGAGTGGATTCCACCAGGTAACAGGGGCAGGCCAGCATAATGCCTGAACCTTTCAGAAGACATAACAATAAAGGACAATCACACTGTGCTCTGCCCAGACCTCTGATGGATGTGTTAGGGTCTGCCTTATTACGCACGTGACAGAGCTGCAGCCACAGTAAACAGCACAAAGTGAAGTAGCTTTGGCAGGTTTGGGCTAGTTTCCAATAGGTACTGCGCTCCATGCAAAGTACACTGTGTGGTATCCCTGAACCCATGAAACAACATGATGGTGTTATTACCACTATTTTTAATAAAGAAATTCACGCTTTAAAAGATTGACATTTTTCTCAAAAATATACCGATTGTAAGGATGGCAGCCAGAACTTGAATCCAAGTGAATGACTCCAAGCCCCAGGCTGTCAACAAGGAGTTATAGCACAATACAATAATGACTAAAATGAATTGACTATCTGCAATGTGCCAGGTGTTGGACGAGTTACGTGATGAACTAATTTCACCCACAGGTGATACTGGGCAGCAGCTGCTATTGTCTCGCATTTCACTATTCATTTTTAGCAAACTCTCAGAGAGGCTAAGAAGCTTGTCTAAGGCCACTTAACCTCTCTGAGGTTCAGTCCCTGTGTCCTAAAATGGGACACCAGTACATGGATTTGACCCCAGCCAGTCTGGCACCACAGCCCACACTGTGAGCCACCACACAATGCCGCTGTGCCCTTTGATCCAAAAGCAAATCATAATTGCTGCAAATGCACCTGACATATTTTCTGTTCCTTTTTTACTGTGGCAAGTTTGTGTAGCCAAACTAATTATTTTTAGACATTTTTAATTCATCCTTAATCATAAATTTGTTTAATTAGCTTGAGCTGCCTTTCTTCCTCCCCGATAGACTCTAATTCTCTCAGGGCCTGGTTGCTGTTAGGGGTGGGGGTTGGGTTAAGGTGAGCCCTCCTACTCCTCTCATACTTTCAACTCTGACTTGTAATTCAAATGTCATGCTTCACAATTGAAGTTAATAGAATCAATTAAAGCCAGTGTGGCTCACTAGCCTGCAAAATAACCTATTGAAAGCAGTATTTTGTAAATGTGAGTCTAATGAGACCAGAGGAGGTCCTCTTATTGCAAAAGACGAAAGAGTCTGAGAGTCTAAATGAAGTCCTGTATTTCTCAGTCTCAGCAAGGTGGGCTATACCCAAAGGGCTCGATTAGGATACATAAAGAAGCTCCCTCGCTGAGTCAGTTAAAACATAACTACCCATGGAACACTCTGCAAACCGAGAGGGTGTGCTCTGGAATGTGGAAAGAGAGATCCCCAAAGGAAACACCTGTCAGTGTTTACTCAGCTCTGTCCGGAAAGAGAGGCTTGGGGTCTTCCTCAATGTTTTCCAAGTTGAGGCTTGGAATCTGTTAGCAGGTCATGAAATCTAACCTTTAGATTCTGGCTGATATTTTCCACAGGACAGATCTGTCTATTGTATGAGGCAATGTTTAGTATTATTTCATAAAATTTATTTCTGCTGTAAACTTCTAAACGTATATTTATGTTCCTGTTAGTGAGCATGTAGTTTTTGAAATGTTTCCCTTTGTGGATGTATTGTAAAGCCATTGATATACTGGTCTTAAGTTCCCTAACTCACAGAACTGTGTGTTTTGTACTATCATAAATTGCCCTCAAATTGGGAAAACTTAGCAACAGTATTTTTGTTCTGCCAAACTTAAAAACATCATAAAGAGAGTAGGATTCCTATTCCCCAAAGTCAAAACTTTTAACATAAAAATAACTAGTGTGGTTACACACACATGTAATTCCAACACTTTGGAGGTGTAGACAGGACAATCAGAAGTTCAAAGCCACCCTGGGATGTCAGAGACTCTTTGTTAAGAACTGAAGAAATATGTAAATGAAGTTTTTAAGAGCAATGATGTGATCAAAAAATAAAGCACATTCTTTTGAATTAGACATGTTTAGTTTTACAGGTTATTCATGAAGAACATGGAGAAAAATATAAACATGCCCAACATATGAATGAGCACCAAGGACGGTTAGTGGTACCTCAAAGAAACACTGCTTTGGATATATGTGTTCTGCTATTCCAGCACCTGCTCAGCTCCTGGGGAGACACAGCTTCTACCACAATCAGCCAGAATAGAGGGAACAACCACCAGGTTTGGGATGTCAGACAGCACCATCTCTCTGTGGATTCATATGGAAACACACAGGTTCATAGATGGTTCCCTACCGAATCCATACAATGTAGGTCAGCATTTCCTCAAGTCTTATCCCCTAAGCATGAGTACGATTATGTTTTTGGAATTTCTGGACCCACAAACTGAAGAACTGGATATTGTAGGTGCTGTTACTCTGAGGAAACTTGACAAACAGTTCGTGAAAATTCCTGGTATTTCCATGTCGTACACGCATCTCCCAAAGCTAAGGCAGAACAGCAAGCCATTTCCCAAATTCTCTAAAGTTCCTCACCAAGAATATCCAGTAGTAGCTCCTGGCACCTGGCTGCTCCTGCAACCGACTATTTTCCCTCCCAGGATACCATTCAACTTTGCCATCTCTCTTCCTGACTCTGACCTCCTTTCTGCCCTGGCAGCCAGTGCAGTTCCAGCAGCTTCTGCCAGTGACTCTCTTGGCTACTTTGTTTCATTTCCTTCTTCCAGTCGCTATCATGGTCCCTGTGACTAAGAGAGATACCCAGAAGCTCATCAGTCATACCTCTCAACAAGTCATGGCAGAGAACGGCCTGAAGCAGCCAGCTGGCCTCCTCCTTGGTATCTCTCTTAACCACAACTTTAAGGGAGCATAACTCAGACCCGACTGTACTGCAGAAGCACTGTGTCTCATAGTCCAGTACCAGAGTATGAGCCAACCCTAGATCCCCACTAATTTGTAGACCTTGAAAACTAGAGCCAGAATGACCTTGTTTACTTCTGAACTACCTATAGAAAAAGGGGTCACTATACCAGCTAATCATTTACAGAAAACAAGGACCTTGTTTACTTCTGAATTCTGAACTACCTATAGAAAAAGGGGTCACTATACCAGCTAATCATTTACTCAAAATTTAAGAAGCTTCACTAGTGATTTCATTTTAAACATGTTAACACATAATGCATATGCTACATAATCAAAAAATAGTCCCAACAAACCAGAACACATCAATCATTAAAAAGAGGATTCTATGACACTTAAACCAAGAAATGCTTCTCTAGCCATCATTTCAACTTACCAAGTCCCCTGGGAAACAATATAATTCCATTTCTCTTAAAATAAAGACCTTATAATTTACACAGTATCTTCTCTAAGTTAAATCAGGATTCCTTCCATTTAAGTTAGATTAGTTCCATCTTATGTCAGGGATATTTACACTAGTTTCTTCAACTAGCTTTATTACCCTCTCTCTGCCCTGATTCTTTTAAAGGTCAGTCCCTGAACTGGAAAAACTCCATCTTCCCATGTTTTTATTTCTTTTACACCCTGCAGAGGAATGAAATTAGCAGTGAGAGATGGACATGCCTAATCACCATACAGACTGTGATTCTCAAGTAGCTGCTACAAAGAGCTGCATGCACTGGGCAGAGTCTAAAATGCGTTCCAAGCACTTTTTTTTTTTTTTTTTGCTTGAAAAGCTCTTCAGACACAGGTGGACGTCTTTCACAACACTCTAAGACACATCGGTCCATCCTCTGTCTCTGGTGCTTCTGGGACTCTGGCTTGCTGTTGTTTTGCTTAGCTTTGCTTTTGAAATCTTTTCTATTGTAGTACTTAATCCTGTCCATCTGCCCCACTGGACTTAAGTCTCACGGGGAGTTCCTTCTCATCACTAATGTACTTTTGTGTTTTTCTCAATTTCACATTCATGTTCATGAAGGGTCTTAAGAAAACAGGAATGTTTATGGAATTAAATCAAATCATACAATTACAAACCTTCTTGTCACAAATGACGAATCCAGTCTGCTGATGGCCAGTGCTTAATGCCATCCCAACAGAGCCATCTCTGGGAAATGAAGGACCAGCTCCTTCCATTTCTCAGCCCTCTGAAACATGACACTGTGTCAAACCACCAGGGCTTAGAGAAGTGGTAAGACTCAGTGATCAAAGAACACTTTGTCGTTTGTTTGACCAAGCTGTTTTTAAAGAATTCGAGACAATACTAACATAATTACTATGTAAAAATGTGTTAAAGTCGCCATTAAATTAGAAACTAGTCTCAATAGAAAAGGCCTTAAAATGTGATGCACTAGTTTCACAAATAATGAAAACAAGACCTAAGGTCTCTAAGCTCCTTTTGCATTTTAATACATCTCATCATGTCTGTCATCAGCCAGGTCTGGTATGGTGCTAGTGTCTATGCCACAGCTCACAATGATTTTGGAAAGAGGAGCTCAAAACACATTGTGACAAAGCCCTCAGGCACTTGAGAACAGTTAGCCAGCTCCCTTCTCCCACCTTTGTAATCTGTGCATATTACCTGAGTTTCTGGCTTCTTCAATATTATGTGTTTTGTTTTGTTTTGTTTTGTTGTTGGGGGGTGCTTCTTTTATTCAATTGGAAGAGTGCCACAGCTGCCACTAAGACAACAGTCCTTTGAAGTCAGTGAATGTGAGTCAGTGGGGAGAGGAATTTGGAATCACACATTTTTGGCATTCATAGATAAGTTAAAATGGTTCAGGCACCTCTAAGTGTAATGTACCAGGCAAATGCCCTCGCCACCCCCAGTGTTTGCCTACAAAGGTATTTTGTTGCTGACACACACTACATTGCCAAAATACTTTTGATAAAGAGCATTTGTAGCTGTGGGTTCTCTAAAGACATAGCTTTACTTTAACCAGAGGCCCTAAGTTTCAACATGAAAATGTAGAGATGGAGAGAGGATGATTAATCTGTAATTTATAGAAATCCGTTATGGGGATGCTCATTAGCTTAAAAACAGAACAGAATGGGAGGAAATGGTTTTTATATCGCCATGATAAGGGTCTGAATTATCTATGAAGAGGAGCTTCCTGACCAGTGCCAGGGTTGGAATCCAGAATGGCTTTGGAATTTCCTTCACTAGCTCTCAAGTTAATATAACTTCCTTTTAGGACAACATAAGAAGTCCCTGTTGTTAATCTGAGATTTTGCTTGTGTGTTTCCTTGTTTGTTTGAAATAGAGTTCAAAATTATATTTCTTGACCATTCATCATACCTCACAAAACAGTAATTTCAAAATAAGGCTTATTCCACGCGGAGACACACAACCCCATGAATCCGGAAGCCTCCCTCACAGAGAGCTTTGGGTGCTTTAAACTTCAGCAAGCGGGGCACCAAGGAAGAGAGAGGGCAGCTGAGAGGCAGGGCACAGGAAGATAGAGGGCAGATGAGAGGCAGGGCACCAGGGAAGAGAGAGGGCAGATGAGAGGCAGGGCACCAGGGAAGAGAGAGGGCAGATGAGAGGGAAGGAGGAAATGTTCTTCTCACGAGCCCTCCACTTCACAAGCATCAGCTCTGTCCTGAAAACACTGGGCTATCTGCCTACATCCTGGATGTATTGCTTTCCTCCAGGTCTTAAAGTATTTTGAGACAGTATCCACTCAAATATGGTATTATAAGGAAAGCTTTGATTACCAAGATATCCTTTTAATTTAAAGCTCTTTGCCACAGTTCCTGTTTGCCATAAGGAAAATAAAAGCTACAGGTTGTTGCGATGCTAACAGTTTCCTGGAGCTGAAAAGCACAACTTCAGCACTTCATTAGGTATCGCCTAATATTGTCTTCTGTTTCTTGTACGTAAATCTTGCTTTTTCCCAGGCAAAGACTCAGAACTTCTTCAGGATGGTGGTCTTGGTTTATGTTTCTTTCGTGCTGTCTAAGAGTCTAAGGCTGTGCTGAGCACTTAAAGTAGATTAATTTATCTGGAAGTTAGCTGGTCACCCTCATTTCTGTAAGTTCTACCACATATGTGTGAATGACCACGGTGGAACGCAACAGCAGAAGAGATATTAGCTCTGAATATGCAACAAGACACCACATGTTTCCAAAATATGAAATCACCTCTTTAAAGCCAACAGAATGAACTGGACAATTGAATTAGTATGACTCTTTTGTCATTTTCATGTTTAACACAAACACTGCTTTCCAGGTCCTGGCCCAGGCATTTCACAAATATTGACTCATCCCTCATAACAGCTATAAGGACCAATATTATCCTCATTTTGTAATGAGAAACTGGGATCACAAAGAGAAGACTCATTGTCCAAGGCTAAACATTCAACCCTGCCAGAATGTGACCTGGGAAGTCGGGCTTGTAAGTTCATGACCTTATTTAGTCTGTTTCCTGAGAGGAAGAAATGGAGTAAGAGAAAGGGAAATTACCATCTTCGGTCTGCAATAGTTTTCATTTTTGTGTCCAAGGTCAACTTTGCCATCTGGTGAGAAAAATGTGGGCAAAGGAAGGTAGTGACCAGTGACTTTGGGGGTGGAGTGGGCAAAATTCTCGGGGTTTGCTGAATGAGCCAACAATAAACAGATCATCTAGGGAAAGGCATCCAGAGTCATTAATTTGTGAAGGGGAAATCACAGGAGCAGGGCTCCCAGCTTACTGGACAAGGTTCAGAAATGGAGAACTGGAAGAATGGAGAATGAGACAATTTTTAGGGAAGTAATAAATGATTTTTTAGGAAACCCACTTAACTTGGGAAGCATACAATATCCTGACACAAAGGCCACTTGGCATCAGAGCAGATGGTAGATTGTAAATGATTCTCTGTAGGACCCTGATAGAGAAAGGTATACAAGAAAGTCTGTTCAGTTGTGTTGGCAGACCTCAGTCTTCATCCCATTCAATACTGATCATCTCCAGCTGAAGAAATTTCAAGAAGACAGAAGTCCATCGTCCTCTGTAGGTGGATCCTATCAGGCTACTAAGAGAACTTTGCAAAACAACAAATACAAACAAATAAAACACCATGAAACACTCCTTGCTGGTGGAAGACAAGACAATGTCAGAAATACCTGAATTCTGAGGTTGATGCTAAGCCTTCTCAGACTTGTCAAAGCACTAAGTCTGGGGATGATCTTCTCTGAGCCCTAGCAGGATCATGCATCTAACCCTTTGAAGGCCTGTATTTGCAAGTACTTCCCAAAACCCTTTAATAAAAATCCACATCCAAGCACCGGTGGCACACACCTTTGGTCCCAGCACTTGGGATGCAGAAGCAGGGGATTTCTGTGAGTTTGAAGCCAACCTGGTCTACAGAGTTCCAAGAGAGTGGGGCTATACAAAGAAGCCCTATCTTGGTAAACCAAAAAGGAAGGGAAGGAGGAAGAGAAGGAGGAAGGAAGGGAAAGAGGGAAGGAAGGAAGGAATGCCATCCATAACACCATGCCCTCCCTTCCATGATGGACTGTGAGCTCCAATAAGCCTTTCTTTTCTTCAAGTCATGCAGTATGTAGACCTTATCTTTCTCTAGCTGCCTAGTTTACCCATTACAAAAACACTTTTAAGAGTAGAAAATTTGTGCCACTAATTTATCTTTGCACCCCAAAGTCTAGCATTTACTTCCCATTCAATGTGTTTTCAACCATAAGCTCCCCTGCTACATTTGATCCTAAACCAATCGTCTTAATCATTTCTCACATGTTCAAAAACTCAAGAGACTCTTTTTGTTGTTATTGTTGTTGTTTTGGTTGTTTTGTTTTATTTTAAATATTTTTCCATTTTTTTATTTGAATTAGAAACAAGATTGTTTTACATGTCAATCCCAGTTCCCTCTCCCTCCCCTCCTCCCTACTGCCCGCCCAACTAAAACCCTACTCTTATTGCTCATTACACTGTAAGTCTATATACTACATACTTCGTAAAGAACTGCATAAAATGTAACAGACTTAAGCTGCTTAAATTCTTCTAGAATTGTTGCTTACTTCAATGATTTCTCTCAGAAAGACACAGGACTTGGATTTGGGCAACACAAGAGAGAGGCTTAAATACTCAGAGTTACTTCAACTTCTAACTTACCATCAGTACTACACACATACGCACATTCTGTCTTCTTTTTTTTTTTAAGGACGGAAGGGTTTCCCTTAGATAGCTTCTCATAATTTGCACAATGACCAAAGCCTTCATTTTTATGTGCAACAGTCTTTTTGGAGAATGCATTTGTACCATGATAGATCATGTCCAAAGATGATGACAGCAATCTCTCTTGTGACAGTCATCCTTTGCTACAGGTTACAGCTGTTTGTCTCATAAATTGGTAGTCAGATTCACATCCTCTGAATCTGAACTGGGTTTGTGGCCAGCTCGGACCATAGAACACTGTGGATATGCCAAGTAGGGAGCTCCAGGTCCTGCCCTTAAAACTAACTGCCTGTGGCTTTTGTTTTTAATCTCTTGTAACTCTAAGACAACACATAAGAGGTTTGGTTTCCCTACTAGAAAGATCAGACAGAGCTTTTAGAACCTAGATAGATGAAAAGATGGAAATCTTGGTCAGCTCAGCAATGACACCAGGTATGTAAAGGTCATGCCATCTTGCATTCCTCAACTCAAACAGCAGTTGAATGAACAAGAAAGGCAAAGATTATTGTACCAGTTGGGCATTGTCGAAACAACCAAAGAGTCATGAGTAAGTGACATTGTTGTTACTATAAACCACTGAGTCTTAGGCTGGTTTGTTACAAAGCCATAGGCTATTGATACATCATTTGTGTTATTCAAGATTAGCATAGAACATAATGAGTAAAGAGACAGGCATGATGGGTCACACCTACAATCCTAGCACTGGGAAGCCTGAGTCAAATGGATTGCATTGAATTTTAGATCAACCTGGGATACAGAGTGAAACCCATCTCAACCAAACAAATGATCCACATACCAACCTTCTTGTTTACAAGGAGCTCTGTGCTTGCCTACCTCACACCCACCCCTCTAATTCATCTAGCTGATTATACAGTATCCAACAATGCAATGCAAAATTTGTGTGAATCAATGCAAAATCAGAGTGAAGTGATTATAATGTGAAATTGCAAATCTTTCAAAATAGGAAATCATGAAATTGATGAAGGTAATGTTGGAGGAGCCCTTGAGTCATGGACAGTTCTACGACAGAAGGGAATCTGCAGCTGTAACAGTTAACATTCGGGAGAAGAAACCCAGATGAGTGACAGCACGAGATCTTCGGAGGGAATGATTTGAATGTCACAATTTAAGAGAGGCCCTTGGAAAATTGATGAAGCGCTCCAAGATTTTTGAAATAATGATACTCTATGATTTGCCCACAAAAGTCAAATGCAAAAGGACATGATATCATGATACCATATAATTTTGTTAGAAAATTTAGCTTTTGAAAATCAACACCAGATTCATTTTTTGTTTTAATATTTAACACTTTTGTCCAACTAAAAATGTACTAAACATGTTTTTTTCTTAATTTCTTAAAAGGCAAAACTCCAATCAAATCTTCTTTTGGCATTTTGAAATCTCTGTTCCTAAAGGCTTCACTTTCTGTGGGTTTGGGGCAAGCTATCAATAATCTGAGGAAACTGGGGGCCTCTATAATGTCTTTAACGTATCTTCCTCGTGAGCAGGTACTCATTGGGAACAGCCTCCTGGCTATGCTTTGTGGATACTCCCTGAACACTGCATAGAGCCAAGAATATGGCTCTATGGACCCAATGACTATGTCACCGTAGATCTACTGTTTCATTGGTTCACATAGCAATATTGCTGTTAAGAAAGCCACTGTCCCATGAGCTGGCATTTGTTCCTGAAATCCTTCATAGCGGGCCTGTCACAAACTTCCTGCCAATAGCACTTTCACAGTCTGGATACTTCTAAGACCAATTCAAGCATATAAAGTCGTGTTAGGAAATAAGTCCCGAATCCCAAAGGCCCAGCTAAGTAGGGCCACATGTGAGAACAGGTGTGCCACTTCACTGAGCAGGAATCTGGAGATGTCAAGCATTAGAACCACTCCAACTCAACCCGGCCCGCAGTCACACTTCTGGGCCGTGTCAATAAATGTCTCAATGAGGGTGGGAATTGAGAAATTCTCGGCATGAATTCAGAATTAGTGGAACCAAATTAGCACTTTCTCTTTTTAAAGAGACTACTTGGGGAGAGGGGTCCCCCTTTCTGTCTTTTAAAAAGTAGAAAAGAAAAACGGAGTCTGTGATTCTAAAAATAGCATTCATTCAAAAGATTTCCATCTCTTATGTAACATTCACAGCATGCAACGCCACTTGTCTTAACATCCCTGAAGTCTAAGCTCTTTCAACTGGATTGCATCCTCTCTTGCAAGAGAAGGACGCACCAGGCTATTTTCCTTTTCATTATCAGCGTAATTTCCACTCCTTTGCAAATAAGAAAGGAACACCACATACTTGGCTGAGCAGACCCTTTCAACCCTACCCCTCCCAGAAGGGCACTCTGTGTTCTGCAACCTATCAGTCAGCTCTGGAGCAAGAGCAAACAATGCTTTCAGTTACAATAACTCGTATCCAGGAAAAAAAAATAAAACAGTGGCTCTGTAACATAGCAGCCAGAGGAAAGTTTACTAACTTTAGCCAATCAGAGCCTGGGGAGCTCAGCCAAGTTAACATGTTTCTCTCCGCCTCTAAATGAACTCATGATTGAAATACAACATTGAACTTGTTTTAAAAAGGGAAGGGGTGTAGGAAAGAAAAGCGAAGGCAGTAAAGGGCTGGGGCTTGTGGGGAACGTGGTTAGGAAGTGTGTGCTTGTCACTGAACCCTCAGTGGATCCTGTAACCTTTGCCTCCCACTGGGCGGAGTAGGGCCTTTAAGAGCAGCTGGAATGCAGTTCCTCTGATCAGCTTAGCCAGTTATTCCCTGTCTGAACCTCTGCTAGCCCTAGAGAACTGCTCCGTTCAGACCAACGGACCTCCTGCGCTCTTCACCCCAGCCCACTTCTTGCCAGAGCAAGAAACTTCCAACGGGAAAGTAGGTTCCCATCTATCCAGCCATGGGAGAAGACGCTGCACAAGCAGAAAAGTTTCAGCACCCAAATGCTGACATGCGCCAGGAGAAGCCATCCAGCCCCAGCCCAATGCCTTCCTCCACACCGAGCCCCAGCCTGAACCTGGGGTCCACAGACGAGGCCATCCGGGACAACTCGCAGGTGAATGCTGTCACTGTACACACACTCCTGGATAAGCTAGTCAACATGCTGGACACCGTGAGGGAGAACCAGCACAACATGGAGCAGCGGCAGATCAACCTGGAGGGCTCGGTGAAGGGCATCCAGAACGACCTCACCAAGCTCTCCAAGTACCAGGCCTCCACCAGCAACACAGTGAACAAGCTGCTGGAGAAGTCTCGCAAGGTCAGCGCTCACACGCGCGCAGTCCGAGAGCGCCTGGAGAGGCAGTGTGTGCAGGTGAAGAGGCTGGAGAACAACCACGCCCAACTCCTCCGACGCAACCACTTCAAAGTGCTCATCTTCCAGGTTAGTGTCCCCAGGGGACCCCTGCACATACTGAGATCATCTCAGTCTTCCAGGCTCTCACGGCCATCTTCCCATCTGTCTGGCCAGTCAAGCATCACACACACACACAACACATTGTCTTCCAGCTGCCTGCTACAGGCAACTATGAAATGTGCCCATAGGGGTTGGAATCTGCCCCGTCCTTCAGGGAACGCCTGTGGGCCTGGCAGGCTGGGGACATTTGTCAGTGAACACCTAGATGCACTTGGTAAGGGTGGGAAGCTGAACAGGTGCAGGCACCCACTGTAGACAAATTCATTTGTCTCTCTTCATTAGGAACTTGGGGCTGTGGCTGCAGCTGTTAACTGGACAGGGCAAATTAATTCAGTGGCTGTTTATTAACTCTTTGTGGAAGTGAGCTAACTGTATGAAGGATTTGTTTTTGTCTTGTTCTAACCGAGACTGCACACACATAACCTTTAAACTATCCCTTTTTCCAAAGGCTCCTGGTGTTTTAGAAACTAACAAAATGAAAAGTTGAACTAGCCTTGCTCTTTAAGATATCTTTTGTCAAAAACGTCTCCAGTCCTTTCTAGAAAATGATGTCATAAAAGTGCGAAGCAAAGTACAACTCTTTACAAGCACACTAGATATGCCCCTTGTTGCTCGGAAGGCCATAACTCTAAAGTAAAATAAAAGAAGTATTAGCAGAGGTGGCCACAAAGACCACCCTTCAACATCTCCTTCAAATGGCTGCCTTAGCATGAAAAGGCCACTTAATTTTTTAATGCATCAATGATGCAATTAATGTACCAAAGGCTATTTGGGGACAGGAAGGTTGCGTGGGGCTGTTGTTCAGCCAAGTGGTGGGCATCTGCAAATCCAAGGGCTGCCCTGCCTAATGCTGGAAGCCCTTCCATGGATGGCACTGAGCCAACCCGGACCCCAGGAAGCATTGCCATCCTGCCTTGGGGCTGTCTCCTTGTGACCATGTGAATAGGAGAGGATTTCAAAGCCATGGAGGGGAGAGGCCATAACAGATTGTGAAAGCATACAGAGAAAGCCTTCATATCCCAAGAGACATTTTGAAACTGGGATCTAAATCGAAGGACCTCCTTTTTCCTAATGAATCTTCTCTGCCAAGTTAGAACTCAGGCCTGCCTATCACCGTAAAAGGAAAGGCTCGTCTTGCTGCCTGTGTGTCCTCCGCAAATTGCATTTGAGTGTTGGGAGGTTCGGGCAGCCGAGGCTCCCGTACCTCCCAGGCTTTCACAGTCAGGAAACTTTCAGGTTTCTAATGCAGATGCAATAGCTTTTCAGGAAGCAGCTGAACTGGAAAGAGATGTGGTCAGCCATCTGAGATCCTACCTTTATTGGCCTAAGAGATCCTAGAAGCCATAGCTCTCAAGACATTTCTAACTAAATAGTGATGTGCATGTGCAGACCTGTCAAAAGAAACTTCCCTCCCTTCAGTGTGAATCAGGGCTAGGAACCCTCCTCATTCATTAAGGAGGGAAGGAAAATACTTCTCTAGTAAAGGAAAAGAGAGAGTTCAAGGGTTTGGTTTTTGTTTTTATAATACAAATGTTCTACCGGTATGAGAAGGAGGGATGGGGAGAAAAATGACTATACATTCAAGAGAACTGTGGATCTGACTATGGGGGACTTAAAGGCATGCGCTGTTGATGAAGACCCAACAAAGTCACCGCTTCCGTTGCATTGGATTGGCAGGTGTGACACTGTACATGAAATAGTAAAAATTCTCCACATAGTGAGGAAATACTGAAACAGGAGTGCTCAAGACCAAAATGGAAGCTAAGGGAATCCAAAGCAAAGTGTGCAGACTGTTCTGACCCTGTGAACAAGCACCTCCTACACGTGTAAAGAGCAGTTTAGAAGGCAGGGAACTTCAGGCAAGTGACTAGACCTTCTCTTCCCATAGGAGGGCCTCTGCTGGCTAAAGGGAATTAGAATCTCAGCTCTGAAGACATGGATGGTTATTTGAAAAACCAAATATAACTGTGGTTGCCTTCAGTGTTTTGTCTTTCTGTAAGTAGACGTTTTAATAGGGTACCAATTATACTATTGGGTGAAACAATACTTTTTATTAAAGTGGAGTACAGGATAGTGGGTGGGAAGATAAAATGTCTCACAGACACTGGCCCACTTCCTACTTTGATCATTTGCCAACTATGTTGATTGTGGACACATTTGCTATCTGTAAGCCTCTGTTTCCCCTTGAAAACACGGAAGATATCAGTAAGAGCAAAAAATAGTTGGGCTCTTAATAAGTCTGGGATAGGCTGCTAAGCAGCATTCTCTCTACCTCCTTGTCAATCCCCAAGTTACAGATGAAGACACTGAGTTTGTCTGAAGTTGTTTAGCACAGAAGTACAAAGGTGTGATTCCAAGACACACTTCATCAGACCGAGAATCTGTGCTTTCAGGCACTAGTGTTTCCTGGCTCATACCTATCCCATAAGTAAGGAATAAAGGAAATAACATACTTAAAATGATTCGTACAGACTGGCATGGTGCAAGTGCTCACTTAGTACAATCAGTTACTGTGTGAGCCTGAAATGCAGGGCTGAGACAGGAGACTCCGCCTCTACCAGGTTAGAAATTGGGTTCTTGGGCCAAAACTGACCCCACCCTTCCGAGGACCTTGAATTAGCTTTGCTTACCCCTTTTTAGTTAAGACTTCCTAGTACACACATATGCACACAGGCATTCCATCACTTTAGAATCAGCATAGCATAACCCATGAAAGCAAAGGACTCTACCCAAAATATCTACTATAATTAGACCATCCTAATATCAGAACATATATCATAGTGTGGTTGTGGAAGAGGACTATCCCAGACGTGTGGAGAATGTGGATATCAAATACAGTACTGGTACCACTTTGTGACTTGAAAAAAAATGTGATTTTCAGTACACTTGAAGCCAATGATGCAATTCTCCTTACTAAAAAAATTTATTTTCTAGGTTAGGGCAAAAATTATCTGAAAATAAGAGAGGTGTTTAAAAAGAAAATCTGCCCCTGGACTGGGGTATATTTGGTACTGTAATGTTGAGAAGATCTATGTTTGTGAATCTAGATCTATGTAGATCTGAGAAGACCTACAGTTTGTAAAATGCTGTCACGTCATCCCAAATCTACTTCTGAGTGTATATATCTGCTTGAGTATATGTGTGTATGTGTATCTGTGTATGTGAGTATATATGAATATGTCTGTGTTTGAAAGTGTATGTGAGAGTGTGAGTGTGCGTGGTTGTATACATGTATCTGCTTATGCTTGTGTGTGTGCGTGTATCCATGTATTTGAGTATATGTGAGTATATCTGTTTTTGACAGTGACTGTGTGTGTGTGTGTGTGTGTGTGTGTGTATCTGCTTGTATATGTATGTTTGTGCGTATTGTGTGGTATATATGTGTATATGTGTGGGTATATGTGAGAATATCTATGTTTGAGAGTGTGTGTGAATGTGGTGTGTATGTGTGTGAGTGTGTGTGTGTGTGTGTGTGTGTGTATGTGTGTGTGGTATGTGTGTGTATAGGATGATTTGTAAGATACTTATACATTCGGACTTTTAATTCCTATCTTTATTTTAAATCTACTTAAAACATGCCATTTATTTATTTATTGAAGTTTTTGCGGTGCTTCACAACACTATTGTAGCTAGTAAGCATCCAATCCCTCAGTGAATACTTTGAATTCGGCCATCAGCATCTACAAACTGGAGAAATGACTATTGCCCCTTGAATACTGAGATAAATTTGGAAATCCCAGTTAAATTCAGAAATTTTCTTTTTAATTTTTTCTGCAAAAGTTTATTATAATATTTGAGTTCAAAATAGTGGGACATAAGCCAGCATTAATAAAATAAGGCTTAGAGGCATTGATGATCAAAATATTAATGCTAAAGAAGTACCAAGTTTCCCCTTTTTCCTGGAAGCATGCCTATCTTCTCCTAACAGTAGAAGTTGTAGTGTAGAGTTAAGAGGAAATGCTTTCCGCTGGTTGAAGAGGTTTCAGGAACTTCACAGTAACTGGCCCTGAGGGTGAGGTGTCACTTACATCCTCGGAAGGTTCTGGTAATGGTTATTTGAAAAAGCAGTCTGGGAATAGTTTCAAAACCAGAAAACAAATTGAGGGTGTACATGGACAGCTTGCACTTTCATCTACATGGAGTTGTGAAATTGGATGAAAAAGCAGAGGAGAGTTACATATTTGCAGCAGATACATTTCGGAAAAATTGAGTCTATAGATGTGCTTTAAGCACTCATCCTTTGGGTTCCTTCCATATATCACGGTTTTAGAAGTATGCTAACAATAAAATCTTCCTATGACTTTTAAATCAATTAGTTTAAAACAGAACTTTATCCAAAATCATTGCTCTAAAAGCTGTTCAATTGGTATGGACTGGAAAGAAATGGGAATATGGGTAATCAAAGATGCCTTTATATGAAAACTCTGCATGTTTGTATCACAAGTCAATATCCCCTAACAGAATATTGGTTTTGTCATGTTACTTATCCAGTGCCCTTTTAGTTTATGAGATTAAAAAATATCATTTCTTATTGTTATTATTTATACTTAGCAAGTGTCTGCATTCCCCCTGACTCTAGAAGTAAATAACTGATCAAAGTTAGTATTCCTTTGGTAAAAAATTACAATCAGATAGATAGATAAGCAGATACATATACACATACATACATACATTCAGGCTCGCTAGAATCTGCATCAGATATAGCCCCCCCCCCATGCTTCCCACTTTTTACATACTTTTCAATGAAACCCAGGTCCTATAGCTTTTATTCCTGTTCCTGTGAATGGTTACTTCTTTTTGTGGCATGTAGGTTAAAATCTCATAATCAAATATGTTTGATCCGGAAACCTTTAATAATCATTTAGTTTAACATAATTTTCTATGAAAGAAACAGGGTCTGAGAAACAAAATGACTGTTGAGGTCTCATTTCATTGATAAGAGAAATTACAGAATGGAATTGTGAAAG